GGTCTGTGCTTCCTTGTCTTCAGCCCACCTGGCTCCCGTGGTCTTCGCGTAAGACACCGGAGACAGGAAGTAACGTAATAATATTTTATTCCAAATTATTCACCCGGTAGAATACCCGTGGTAGACCTGAACCTTGCCTACGTCATAATAACGCATTTTCATCGGACGACGCCTAGAGGTTACCAGCGTCGCTCGCTGTGGGCCGAACGAGGAGACGACACGTGGGTGGGTCTTCACTGTAGAAGGGGACAGGACTTCCGGTCACGGTCGAACTTCCTATTCGGAAAGGAGCATCGTTCACGGAGTGCCCGACGACAGTGAAATTCCTCGCTGTGACGTAGATAATTAAAATTCTCACTATCGTGACCTCCGCCCGTAGGCGTGAACGTCCTAGATACGAGAGAAAACACGATTCCCTGTAATTTTACAAAAATTTCTCCGCGTACCACCCGTTATATGTCGTTAAATTGAAATTTTAACCGTGCAAACGCATTACGAATCTACGACGTTACATTTGAGTAGCGAAAAGTTGCTGGCGCAATTTACGACGCGTTTCAGAATTCCTCGAATGGCAGAAACCTTAAATCGCCCACAGACGAGCCGTCGGTAAGCGACGCCGTCAGTGAATTTTTCTAGCTTAGAGAAACATGAAACGAAGGCGCAGGGTCGGTTCAAAAGTCAAAAGAGAAAAGGCCCGCGGAATGCATTCAGCTGTACCGCAGCGAGCGGCGTCGCGGCGCCAGGGCCGCAAAGACGCGATTTTATTCGCCTCGTGTGGGCTGCCTGGCAAAGTGGAGGAGGATCGATGGATGAAAAGAAAAATACTGCTTTGTGAATGCGGCATGGAATTTCGAGTGGGCCCCAGACGATACATTCGCGTCTTGAAAAGGAGCCTTAATCATAGACCAAATATAATACGGCGCACAGTACATTTTAATACGCGCCGACCAAGTCTCGAGGATTCGGTCGGAGCGAAAGGCGAAACGCATTATCGATCCTTTTCGTTCGACTCTCGACTCCTGGCAGCAGGTAGCACCTATCGGCAGAGGGAACCCACGGGCCAGGAATTCCCCCCTGCGAACCCAAAGCACAGCGCGCGCCTTCCGCTAATGGCGGTCGCCAATTAAACATTTGCCCTGCGAAACGAACGCAGGTACAACCGTAACCAGTGTAAGCGATTTAATAACGTTAACCGGGAGGACCGAGTGACTTGACGATCTAATAATAGAAACAGCCCTAAAGGAACCATAGCCCGTCACGAAGAAGCCAATAAGGAAGCGGAAAGCCGAACGTGACGTAAATATAGTTTACACGGTGCGACGCAGCTGGCTGGTATTGCGGGTGTCCTCATTGTCAATTGAAAATGTTCGGATCGCGAGAAACATTTAAATATAGATATACTCTTAAGGTAATCTCTTTGAGATAACGTTGAAAGGATCCACGTGAAATTAGTACAGTCAATTTCAAAAGCAAAAATATCTGCAATAGCTTTATCGTAAAAATAATAAAATTGCCCAATTTCGCGTTACTTCTGACTGGGATTGTACCTGCACCTGCCACGTGGGTATGGGCACTCAGCCTTTAGGGGTGCTTTAAGGGGGTGGAGTGTGTGGGCACGCGTCTCCCCTTTCCCCCTCGCGGTTTCTTCGCACGACACCCCTTACGTAGCCCAACACCTGACAAAGCCCCGCGCGAGCCAGAAAACCAAAAGGTTGGCCAGGGGTGGGATACAAGGGTAGGTTGGACTTAGGAGTGCACGCATGGCTGAATGCGTAGGTGCGTGCGTGCGTGCGTCTCCGTAGGTTGTATCAGAAGGGTGCAGGGGTAAATGAGTTGGGGCTCCGCGCCAAGGGTGCGAAGATAAACTCTGTAAACATTCCGCGATAAGGGTGACCCCCTATAGGGAATGGGTGTCTCTTACGTGTATCTTGGCAATATCGTGTGTGTATACACATATGTACAGGTGTTTGCACCCTCATACGCGGACGATCCCAGTCCAAAAAAATCATCCCCCTATAAGCGTACCGACGGCATTAAACAATTAAAGACAACCTCTTATCAGAGATAGTATTAACGAGGGGGGTGTAACTGGAGAGGGATGCCCCCCGGGGGGGGGAGAGTCAAATCGTCTCTACACGTAGATCAAGCACGATATTGATTCCACCCCTAAATTCAACCCTGTACCTGATCTACCTGCACAGTTAACCACCCCGTGGAAAATTACTGTACCACCCCTTATGGGTTTCGCGAGATAGGCCTAGAGAGGGGGAAGGAAATTATTACAAAATTTTATTTTTTATTCTCAAGTATTTTTCGAGAACGGACGAAAGAGCTGTTGGCTGTACTACCAATTGCAGGATATCTTTGAGATAAGAGAAAAAAAAAGAGTGGCGACGCCCTTGGCATAAAGCAACTACGCAGATACCGAGGGAGGTTTCGAAGAGGGAAAAGTCACGTTTCTGTATTGTATTTCGTATTCGTGTAGGATAAGATAAAAAATTTACGTGTCACAGTCAAGAAACACGACTGGCACGTAATTATTGTGGCGATTCAAATAATTGGAGGATCCTTATATTGTTTTTGATTCTGTGGAAGGAAAATGCGCGTGCACGCCTATGCAGCTTTTGTACGCGTCTTTCCCGAGAAACCACTTTAGACCACTATGTTTTTATTCTACTTCTTTTTTTGTCTGCTATGGAAAAAAGAATACTACGGGTTCCACGGGTAACTTCGACTTGTAGTTCTTCCGAGTAAAGGGACACCCACTCCCACTTCGAAGACACCCCCGCGCAACGCCCGACCGAGAAGACCCTTTTGGATGCCACGAAAACAACGCCGACGCTCGCGCCGCCATCTATTAATAAGTGCACGCAGTTATTTCGGACCGAGTTTATTAGCCGGCAGCGAATATTGGGACGCGCGCTCCTCTATCAAACATGTCCGCCCGTGATTGATTGACGTAGTCAGTTGGGTGAGGGCTGACGAATGGGGGAAACGGGAAAAAAAAAGACTAATTCACAAGCGTTTGGCAGTCACTGATAATCGAGACTTTTTGACAAGTCTATACAGAGTCAGTATGCACTCCCGGTTGGGCTTTCCTTCCGATACTACGTTCACGCTAAAACCCGTGAAGAAGATGTAAAAAGACACGAGACGAGAATTAACCAATGATTTACCGTCTGCTATTGAATTTTGGTAAATATTCATAGTAAAGTATGTCGATAAGACGTCGAAGAGAGGAGAATCAAACGATAAGAAGTATCTTCGTACACATCGAATACGGATAATCGATAATTCGTGAAAATAAAAAGGAGAAGAAAATTTTTCAAAAATCAAAATGTGTATCGTATTTAGCAACGGGAATTAATTATTAGAAATTACAGCGTTCAATCTAATAAGGATATAATGCTTGATAGATCTTATGGCGGTCGAGTGATTTTAATCAAAGAATAACAAAGACTGGTAGATCCTAGTCAAAGCCAAAGATACAAATGTCGGGCGAGGCTATTGTGACATTTTAACGAGTCGGAAGTCGTTTCGACGTATTTATCGGTTATCGTTTCGCAAGGGGGCACTCGAATGCCCCATGTAAAACACACAAAACGCACGAAACTCACGAGAGACAAACGAAGTGCATGGGTTCCTGTTTCGCCCATAATTAAAAAGAAAAAAGAGAACCTCATGAATTTACAGAGTTCGTCGACTCGCAAGAGAAACAATAAACGTATCCGATCGGAAGTGAGATCCTTTTCGGAATTAACCGTTCGCCGCGATGGGCGTCGCATAAATCCTCGATCGATCGACCAATTGTAATGTGATACTCATTAAAAAGAGCTCGAAAAGAGCAGCGAGCTGAGAGTAGTTCGCCATGGGAATACGAATTGGGTGAACGTCGTGCCAAGATTCCGAGGGTGTTGACAGCTGCCACTGAGATGCGTTTCACATGACAATACGTTCGAGGTAACTCTGGGAAAAGCATAACAGGAGCGAAACGTGGATAATTCGCAGCTGTAACGTTCCTGTTAGCAGTCCTGACCTACAGATACGACGAACGTAATATTATTTTAAAAATATACTAAATGCACATCTGCTTCTTGTGTTTATTTAATAAAATACAGAGCGAATTGTATACGCGCCTATGACGTGTATCGGGATCCGTTTGATAAATCAATAATAAAAAATTGACAGACCGGTTATTTTGTAGTTACCTACGAAGGTGTATTTCTAATATATTAAAATAAATGATTTCACTAGTTGCCTGTTAACTGTCAGAGCAATAACGTCGCACGACATAAATACGTCACTCGTAATACATTACCAGGTAAAAGCGGAAGTACACGAGGAAGCGTGCAAAGTTTAATCGGTCGATTGGAATGTGGAGATACTCACGTTAGTTTAGAGAAGATATCTCGAAGGGCTGGGCAATCCTGAGTACTTGTACCACTGATATGTCACTGCTAATAAACACAGTGGTCCCGGAGCACTTGTTTGTGAACTTCAGAGATCGCGATGTCACGAAGCACGGAATTCGAGCACAGCTAAATCGTTTAGTCCAGTTGATGAGCGCGCACGTAAAGTAGTCTCTTCGCTTTTAATTGGTAGAGAGGTCTTCGAAGGGCCACGGGCCTCGGGCCGCCATGCACTGACTCTGACTGACTCTCTTCTCGCAGCCGAACGTGCCTGAACGCCTCGGCTAACTCAGTCGCTCGGACGTAGTCATACGTATACACCCACCATGCAGCAATATAATAGTGTTTGGCACTTCGGTTGAACTCGGTCTTACTCGGTTGTCTTCGGTTTTGCGCGCATGCCTTCATCGAACGTCACTACCCGGCATTGCTGGTGGAACCCGTAGCTCGTACCTCGCCTGGACCACGACTACCACGACCACAGGTTGCAGTTTGCTGCTGCATAGTATTGAATTGATCTGCCTGACATCTTGTGGGAAGCAATGTATGCTACTGGTAAATGTATTATACAAACCATTGATAGATAAGCCGACTCTTGATATCGTTGCAGACAAATAATATCGGCAAATATTAAAGGACATGTTCTGGTGTACCAACCGATGGTAACTTACCGACACGATATTTTTGTAAACGTTCTAATTAAATTTTTGGTTAAAAATATTTTTAAGATATTTAATATCAATAATTTTTTATAAAAAAATCGTAAATTACTATACACCTATGATAATTGGAATTTAGTGTCTCATATAGACGGATAAAACAGTTCCTTCTCTTTGGTCTCTGAAGGTAACTAAGATATTATTTATTGCTCCGTTTGTACTGTCTCGCCCAGTCAAATTCTTTCTGACTTTTCGATTTCTCATCGATCGTTCCCCCGTCAGGTATTTCCACCCGAATGCCCATAAAAGCTGCTGAATAATTACCAGTGCCAGGATCATCAAAAATAACCTCGTCATGAATAACCCAGCGACCGTACAATATTTCGGCGAGTTTTCGAAAACCCATACTTAAAGCTAGCAGCTGACTTGAACCGGAGGAAAAAATTCCAGCTACTGCAGGTATTTTTAGACTTTCAGCGACTCGTAGACAAATTTCAATGAGATTTCTACTTAACCCACGATCCTGGTATGTCGGATGTACACAGAGTATTTTTATGCGAAGATGCGATTCGCTATTCAATTGCTCAAACGCACGTGCTTGCTTCACCAATGCACTTTGTAGTTGCATCACCTTCTGCAATGCGTTTCCCCGATATATCTAAATATCAATATATTCGAGTTAACATTTTAAGGAATTTAAAGACGCACTCACGCGTATCAGTGATGCTGTTTGCTAAAAAGAATAAATATTTCCCAAAAATAATTTGTCTGCAAAGTTTACCTGAATACGAGTATACGTGTCAGTTTTATCGAGATAACTGATAATTTTGGTAATGGCGACTCCTATTACGCGTCCCGTTGATGTACTCACTGCTATGATGCTTGTCGTGTCCTTCATCCACACTCTTATCATATCCAGATAACATTTTACAGAATCAGGCTCCGACAATAGAGAAGATGCTTTGCACATTGGTTCAGTTGTGAGAAAATGATGCTGCCACAAGGAATTAAGAGAGAGATGAGACGAGGAGGATGCTTAAGATTTTTCGTAAATATAAGTGAAATACCAAACACATTTAGAACATACGTGGTGACGTGTGAGACGAAAAAAAATAATTGCTAATCAAAAGCACAGAAATGTCGCTCATATTATAATTTTCATATTTCACTGAACTTTTAACATGTGAATGACTTCCTCGTAATGCGATTCCTTGAGGTCGATAATTCGAAAATTTGAACGAACTTGCCAGCCAAAAGGTTCAAGCAGCATTTCCTGAGTCGCTTGAACAATTTCATTCTTCTCAGATTCCGTGAGTCCAAGCTCCATTAATAAAATTCAATCGCGGAATACAATTTTTGATCGAAGATTGATCCTTAGGTGAAAATACATGAAATTTGAAAATAATCTGAAGAAATCAATCAGCACCATACTCTATCGGTATACAATACTGCTCAAAAGTATTGCATAAACTGAAGGTAGTCCTTTCAACTTTTATGGTAAAACCACTTTCAGCTGATGTAATTACACTCTGAATAAAGGCCTTCACAAGGTTTAAGTCTGTATAAAAAATTGATAGAATACAAAAATATAGTAAGAAAACATGAAAGCAATTTCAGACCAGTATAATTAATTCAGCAGATAGCTCTGAAGCATACCTAACCTTAAACAATATTTTTGTATTTCCAAGAAAAATATAATTAAACATATGGAAAGAAGGGCCAGTGCATTTTCAAAAGGTCGCAGAAGACAATCAATTTCTGAATGTATCACCGAGATTTCTGTAAGTGACTTATTAGACTTGGAAAATTCCTCCATCAATAACGTCAATCATGTCAGTGAAAATGCCCCTATGGTTTGGGAGAGAATGTCAAATGGTTACAGAATCGTGGATCTGAAGGAGGAAAGGATAATCGAAGCAATTAAACTAATAAAAGTATCTACAATAAGACAGAGAATACTATGAAAATTTTACAGATGGTATTTAATAATAAAATTAATATTTTGAATTTTCAGAACGATTTTCTTAAATCGGAACCAATGTGCTGTGCAACACATGTGAAAAAAGATTTCGTATCTGCAAAGTCATATCTTCAATTGATCTTGAGACACATGCGTGACCTTGAAAGTCTCTGTGCTCTTAAGGAAGGGACTGGCGATTTGGTGGGAGTCCTTATTGGTTCAAATGATGAAACAGTTGACAAATATTACAACGAAATTCAGGTACCAATGAAGGAAGATACTTCTGATTCAATTGGATTAATTAATTAAAAATTTTTATAGCTCAACCAGGGACTGTTCCTTTCGAAAATAATTAACCTGAGGAATTGTCTATTTGCAAAAGCTGGGGTGACTGAGTTATTCGGGACCGGTAAATTCTATCAGATCAATGTGCTTTGCGTGGAGATGGATCATAGGAACAAAGGAATTGGAACTGCATTGGTTCGTTCCTGTATTTCCAGAGTAAATCAATTGAGAATTCCAGGTTGCGTCGCAGCATTCAGCTCGGCTGCTGCTCAGACCATAGGTAATTTTTCTGTTTCTATATTATTCTCTAGTATTAATAACTGATTATGTATATTAATTCTTGTGTTCAGGCGAGAGATTGAATTTTGAGAAAGTGACTGAAATTTCATATAGAAATTTTGTCACACCTCACAACAATGCAAAACCATTCAATCACATTCCCGCTGGCAATTTTTCTATATCTTGTATGATACTTGTCACCAATTCGCCGGATGAGGATAAAACGGCGCTAAATTCAAATAGGGAGAGTCAGTCGAAATCATCTGCTAAAGTAAAGAGAAAGAAAAAATAGTATAATGCAATATTAATATTGATCGAATGAGGAATAAGATCTAAAAGCATAATAAACAATTTGCATAAATTATATTCCTCTTTACACGAATCAAGGGATATAACGATAGATAAATATAGAAATTCTCTTTTCGCGTGAAACAATTATTAGATATTCAATGAAATAAAAAAAAGAATAATACCAATCACGATTCACAGCGGATACCAATCGCCTAATTAAAGGAACGATTAAACGTTCTCAAGATTTTATAAAAAACTTATAACTCGTCTCTGAGTTGAGATGATTCCATAAAATGACGTTGGGAATCATCAACTCCCACGATTCCTAATTTCTCCCAGAACTTAACTCTCTCGTGTATAAGATTGTCAGCCATAAACAATTCCTTTGGACTTCCAATGTGTAGATATTCAAGATCCAGAGTCCTCACTGGTTTCCATTTGATTGGAATCTCTTTCGTGAGCACAGGTGTTGGATTTCTATTGATTAAAATTTCAATACAAATTTTAATGACTATAAACAAAAATTAAAAAAAAATTCGATTAGGATAAAATCCTAATTGGCTTACCCTGATTTGGCAAAATTATACCAAAGACTGGTAAATATATCGACCACTTTGTGATCATCCACGCTCAATGGAAACTCCTTGAACAATTGTTCCCCAACAGGGAAAAGATACTGCAAGTCATCCGCATGACAAACGCCATACTCCCCTTTTGGATCTCCAAAAATAGAGCTAAAGGAAGCGCTTCCTCTGTACGCAAGATAATAATAATAAACTGGACTAGCAAGGACATTCAGATGATCCCTGACTGCATTATCAGCAGCAATGGAGAACCAGGCGTCCGAGTAAAGCTAAAAGACCAATTACCATGATAGAAAATATACGTTCTGAAGTAGTATAAAATTGTCTTATAAAAGTAAACCAACTAGTCAATAACTCACGTCGATAAGATCGAACTTGGTCGATTGATCGATTGGCCGATCACCAAAGTAGAACTCGCGAATAGACTTCGTCACATTCTCAATACGATCCGCAGGGCATTTATCCCTGTAGAGTAGACTCATGGGAGCAATAGTCATGAAGTCGTCGTTCAGCTTTCTGGCCAATTCGCCATCGTTGAGACCCAAAAGACCTGAAAAAAATTTTTCTTTAAACTCAATACAAAGTCATATATATATATATATACATATATATATATACATAATAATCCAAAAATGTTACCAGCAACTCTGAGGGCTCCTTCGTGGGACGTGATACCAGTCATCCATGGAATATCAGCAATACGTCCGGCCTTCAATGAGACTGCTGGATCTTCCTTGAGGAATGCGCCAGGATGATCTGGCTCGATGACCGGTCTGAATGGGATCATTGGGCAGTAATCGAATTCCTAAAGCGGGACAAGCATCGCAAGGCAACGGATTAATATGAAAAAGTAAAATTATTAAAATCTTAAAGTAATAGGGGAAAGGATAAATATGAAGCAACATGAATCTTGATTGAATTGGAATTAACTATTTATATTTTTAAGGACTGGACTGTGTGCTGATGAAATGGCGAGTGACTTAATGGAATTTAAATGATTCTTATACACGTTCACTCAGGTGGTACGTTAGTGTTATTTCTTTTGAACGTAAATCATTTTTTTTTTTTTCGTTTCTTTGTGTACTCTCTATTCCCAAGAACCAATCGGATTGCAAATGTCCATGCTGGCTAGATCCTTACTCGATTTTTACACGGTTTGCTCTAGATCTTCTTAATTGAAACAAATGCCATTCCCCTGTTTGGTATGTCAGGTTATTATTGGCACGCTCTAATTCTAACTGACAAATGCTAAGTGGCATAATCCTGCGACTGCGTGTAGTCAATCGGAAACGATCGAACCTTAAGAATTTGCCATTTGCATTGCTAATCATTGGGAAACCGGACAGGTTTTCTCGACATTTTTTAGAATTTTCCTAAAACCGGTTTCATATTTCCATTGAATTTTCATCCAAGTGGCAACCAGTCCACGTTTATGATATACGATGACAAAAAAAATTAATCAATTCCCAGATAACCAATAATGTCACTTGTTGAATTATTACCCAGCGATATCTCTTCCACGATCTTATCAAGTTAAAGCATAAGTGAACCTATTATACATATACAAATTGAAAAAATTCTTATTAATCAATAAAACAATATATCTGTACCTGAAATTCTTTGTCGGTGCCAATAATGTCAACAGCGTCTTTTTCACGAAGACAGGATAGCAATGACTTCGAATCTTGATTAGGACAATTCAAATATCGACCAAGACGTTGGGCCTGTTTCTTAGCCAATCCGGGCCTGGTCAGTCCCCAAAAGCACAGAGCGGTGCCACTCTGTGAAATTCCTCGATGAAACAGGTCTAGTGAAACGAATTTCAAAAAACATATAAATGAACAAGAAGAAGATCACAATGAAGCATAACCTGAAGGATACGTAATGCACATTAATTGAAAGCCACAAGAGAAACACGTGACAGCAGAAATTGCACGTGTCAACGTTGCGCCGTACGGAATAATAATAATTGTTGTCGTTGGCGTCAAAAAAAAAAAAAAAATAAAAAGCGCATACAGGTTTAGAGCAAAGAAAAAAAAACAAATCAAACAGCCTGATTTTTTTTTACTCCAAGAATTTCACAATACCTTCGTGCCGAACTTGTTTCGCATAATAATATTATGATTGTTGATGACTGGAAAATCCCCGTAAATTAAAAAAAATTATTTTTTTTTTTCTAAATTCGAGGCGTTTTCAAGATTTTTCTATCCCATACAATCCATGCGCTTGGATGCAGTATACAATAGGTATATATATATATATATATTGTTTTCACCGTTCCTGCCGATCATTCCGATCACGACCGACGATCACTCGATTCATTTGTATTTTTATGTAGTAACATCGTAATTACACGCTTTCCAGTTTTAACAGCTGACAAGAGCTAATAACGCTTCGTGATCCATAAACAGGATCACTACGTGCGATCGTGAATCAATCTTGCGTCATTATCATTGCCAATCACGTAAAGCTGTCTAGCCTGGAATACGTATAAGTATGTACATAACGATCTTGAATATTGCACTTAACGATCTCCTGGGACTGTTTCGATCGATCAACTGGTTATTATTATTATTCGAAACCTTTTAGAGATCTTACAGATCCGTTAAGCTCCCAATTACCAAGAGCTATCGTACCTTTTGAAAGTGGACTCATCATATGGTAGTGAACACTAACGCCACCTGCACTTTCCCCGAAGAGAGTTACTCTGTTGGGGTCACCCCCGAAGGCAGCAATGTTCTCACTGACCCAACGTATGGACTGGGCCTGATCCTTCATCCCCTGATTTCCAGGCAAGATCAGGTCCTCGTAGCTGAGGAAGCCCAATGGACCCAGCCTAGAAGACAGATTCCAGTTACACGCTGCACCGGGATAAAGAGATTTTCGAGGTACCTGAAGTTTACGGTGACGAGGATGACGTCATGGTCCAGGAGAAATTTGGGACCGTAAAATTCAGAGTGCCCAGCGCCGGTGACCCATCCGCCTCCGTGGAACCAGATCATCACCGGATAGGAAGGCCGGTTCCAAAGAGTGTTATCACCATCCTCGAGGGGTGGTAGTTCAAGGGTGTAGACGTTGAGATAAAGACAATCCTCTACTCCAACGACTTCTTTCTGATGCGTGTAAATATTGCGTTGGGTACAGATCCCAGCATCTTCCTTAGCCGAACGTAGACCGGACCAAGATGCGGCTGGTCTGGGTGGCTAGATAATAAATTGATCATTAATAATTTGACCTGTTATCGTTTGTGACGTTATCAATAAATTTTTTTCCTATCACGTGTAATATTCATCACGTACCTTTATCTCGGGCCTGATAAGACTTGGGACTTTTCGATTTTTCAGGTGTGAACGCAGCTTTGAGCTTGTCGGCGTCAACTTATTACCAATGGACCAGAGACTGGTATATAGATAACGACAATCTATACCTTTTCTCGTTGTACTCCTTACTCATTGCTGGCGCAGCTCCTAGTCGAAGGTTATCCTCGTTCGAATAAACTTCACAACATTGCGCAATGCGATAACTTGATAAGCCACGGAACCGTATTGCCGACTCGAGCTAACCTAAGCGGACCCACGCGCGGCGGCCGTTCAAGGTAAATTTCTCAAGCAATTTCTCAAGCCAAGAGTCGAGCATTGACAGTCGCCTATTGCGGTTAAGTAATAGTCGGGTAATACTAAACAGAATAACTTATGGACTTGCCATAATCGTCAATGATTCGTTGAATACGGATAAGCCGGATAGGAGTGAATAATTCAATACTTCTTGATATTTAATTACATAATTAATAATTATTGCCTTTTCAAGATTCGCCTTGATCTTGCACAGTGTCCGAGCTTCAATGGTAACGTAATCATACGTCCATGATATTAATACGGTAAGTTGTACATTAAAATTTTATTAACGACTCTTTATCATTTTACGCGTTTAACGAAAAAGTGCAAATTTTAATAGAAACAAATTTTTTGTAAAATTACCATCAGCAATGACTCACCTGGTCAACGTAGAGATGTCAGTGACATTTGGTTAATCCTTCCCTCTACCTTTCCGTAAATCACTTGTTGAACTTGGCTTAGAAAATAGTCTTTCCCAGTCGGGAATACAGGGATCTTCCTTACCTCGAATCTCAGTTCTCCAAGAGGTGGTAGCGCGTAAGGGATGCCCCTGAAGGCAGCGAACTCCACGCCGCGTCTGCTCTTCATGATGGTACCTTCCAAGGTGCCGTTTCGAATTTTGACTCTTGGACCAGCCGTGACGAGACACGTTAGACAAGCGAGAAGAATCGCGAGGATCGACGCTTGGATCATTTTCAAGATCATCGGTGCCAAATGATCGATGGCGAATTGGTATTTTGAATTATAACAATTAGTTGAATGATAATAAAAGTTCAAAATATTTGCTGACCCCACAATCGAAATACGATGTAATTTTAGAAAACAAAATCTTCACCCAGCAATTCGGAAGCTGAGCAGTGCCAATAGTTCAATGACCACCGATCTAACCTGTGTCGCCGTGCGATTAGCAATTATATATCCTCGGCCGCCAGCACGTGTTCTCTCGGCGAAGGTGAAACGGTGACTGCGCTGATGTTGTGATCGACAGTCTCTGGGCTCGCGAAGATAATGATGCTGGGGACTTGGTATCTGATTGCAGGTATTCGGAAGGAAACGAGACTCAGGACGAGTCGAGAGGCTTGAGTTGATTCGTGACTAGTAGTTCTATACTTTATGGTCACGGGACGTATACTTCACAGGCAGCGATTTCCATGCTTTAATTTATTCCGTCTTGTATCTTGTTTTTAATGAATTGTGAAATCGGCTTTGTTGTCAGTGGTGCTTTTTTTTTTAATTGCCGCAATTCTTTTCGATGCAACGAGTGATTTGTTGTTTTCGTAATCGTTACGTAATTATGATTTATTGATGATTCGATTTGAACAATTTTCATGTTTTTTTTTTATGTACGTTTCAATGAATGCACAACTTACGTCACGCAGGAAGAAGTGGCTTTGGTCAAGGTTCGTCGTATAACGTAATATAGGTTTATCGGTGAAACTCACGGGTAAGTATGTCGACGCAATCTACTTCTGTATCGTGCTGTAGCATTGCTTGAGGCGATTTACCGTTATTCTTAAAATTGTCGAGCATCCAAATTGGCGAATTATAGTCGATGAAATTTTTAGCATTATATCAAACGTGATTGTAGAAAACTCAGCTAGACCCGAGAGAAAGAAAAAATGTATTTTCATAATTCAAGGATTTTTTATCGGCCGGTAAAGTAGCTCATGAAAAAAAAGAAATGTAAATGCAGAAAAATCATACTACCCCGTCGGTAAAGTAGAACAGGTTTTGAGCACAGAAGAAATGTATTAAATCAAATCGATAATATCAGTCTTCAAAATTTGTATTAATTCAAACAAGAATTTCAATATAAATTCTACAAACTCTAATTCAATAATACGTCTCTGGCGGATAAGTAAAAGTACAAATCAGCCGTACAGTGGCTCCACGTAGGTGGACTCCAGTACGGTTATTTATGGTACTAACGTCGATTTCCTCAAAGATTCGTCGGTTCGGTAGAGTTCTGACTATATTCGAAATTTCAAAGTGCTCGGGAAAGGTCTTAAGTGGAGGAAATAAAATTAAATGTAAAAAAAACCCTTAACCCAAGATGGCGCAACCAATCACCAGTCTGCGGATCACCGATCGTTAAATTTCCCTTATATTTTTCCGAAGGGGAAGGCTCGACCCTTGTTGCAGTCTGCATTCGGCAGCCGTGCGCGTACATCGGTAACCTACGAGGGGTGCGGACCCTCGAGGTGGGAAGGGTGGCTTTATGGCTCATGGTACAAGACTTCCCTTACTATACTTATACCTCCCCTTACACACACACATATATATATATACCCTCATAACCTTTCACCCATCAGCCCTCGTTTTGTGCGAACCATCATGCCGCCCATGGCTGGCTACGCCATTTTGTAAATCACCACGCTACACCCCGAAGAACCTTGAGGCTGGCCTCGACCGCTTCGTTGGAAAATTAAATTTTGCCAATGAAAAATGAGGCTGTAATTTTTTTTAGAAATAATAAAAAATAAAAACAACAATTAACGAAAAGATATATTATTCTTCGCATTTCAATTTAAATCGAATCCTCAAAACATTAACAACCAAAAAATCATAATACTTGCGAGATATAAACGTACGGCTAAGGAAAAAAATAAAATAAATTGACACGAAACCCGATAAAAATAATAAATAAAATGGATTTTTAGCAAAGAGCAGACAATTGTGTCGATTCTTTAATAAAATGTAATTCCAGCGAAGAGAGGATATCCGTCTTAATTTTTTCAAAGGCAAAATCAAGCCTCGGCGACGATGACGTAATTGAAAAAAAAAATTACCACCTAAAAAATTCTACCTTCGAATTCGCCACATGTTACTGAGATACGCAACGTAAGTTTCTCCTTTCTTTCGCTCGTAAATAATAACTACACGTAAATCTTGATCATCGAGTTCGTTAAGTCCGCTATCTCAAAACACGGGCGCTCCCATTACTTATCCCGATGGCGATAATTTAATCGAGTAACCGCCAAAGAAAAATTTCATAACAAAGACGCGTCTCGGATAGTCTACGTGATTAACGATTTCTTGAAAAAAAAAAAGATATTCAGCCAAAAAATTCAAGCGAGCACGAGTACCGTACCTTTTTCGAAAATCAATACAGGCGGTTTCATCAAAAATAATTTAACCCAGAAACACCGGTATAGCGTCAGTACACAACCGTGAGCCCAGCCGATGCCATTAGGCGATCGCGCGGCCATTGAACGTCATTAATCGAAGGATTACGCGAACAATAAAGAAATGAAAAAGCCTCAGTGAAGAATTCGAGATAAAATTCGAATTTCATCTTCAAATAAATCGGTTCTCATTTTGTTCCTATAGAATCCGGTAAGAGTCGTCCCGGCTAGTGGCGCCACCTAGAGCGCACTGGTTCACCTCGAAGCTTCCCAGTCATCTCGCATATTGCCGCCATTTTATTTGGTAGCGTGATTTGCGCTTTTCCACGATATCTCATCCCCCCTCTCTCTCTCTCTCATTCCTAAGCATTTACTCGTGAAAAGATTCTTAGAAAGATTTTTCCGCGAATTACTTGTGTCCTTCCCAATAAAAAAAGTAACTTCGATTAATTTCGTACTTAAATTCTTTTTGTTTTCTTTTTTTTTCGCCAAATCCAAACGGCGGCCATTACTGCACGCGAATCTCGGTACGGGCATTGGGCGGCCATAATAAAATGTTTATCGATGCGTGTTACGCAAGTTATTCTTACGGGACGTTATTAACGTTCAATTGCACAGGGCAATTGGCTCGCCCGCTAAGGAAAACCTCATAAATCCATCCCTGGAATTCCTCGGAGGTCCGTTATCTTCCTCAAGGTAGATCCAGTCAAACCGAACGAGGAATCCGTGGGACCTCGGCCCTTCACCAAGGCGATGACCGAGATAATCCGAAGGAATTCGTAATATGTCTCAGGTAGAATGCCTCCCGAAGCTACTTCATATAACTCATTCATCGGGTTTTCCCTCTTGCGCTTGTACACGAGTAGCAATAATTGATCCTCGGGAAATGAAATTTGGGCAGGGAGTTCCTTGCACGTTCGTTCCAGGAATTAAGAAGAAATTCACGAATTTTTCCAAAAATATAATAAAATCAAAAACTATCTTTCTTTTTGTAATAAATTATACCCGAGAATGAAGAATTTTTTATTAAATTGAAAATCCGCTGGTACCGACACATTTTTCTTTAGTTATACGCAACTTCAAAGATTTTTCGGTAATATTGATTATATTAGAAAAATATAGTGTGGTTTGTATTTACATGATTTTCTTCTTAGCCACGATTTCCGGCAAGTCGATTTTCCACGCCAACCAAGAGCTGCTTCCAGGGGCGTCGAAGGTCCTGGCAGGATCGTCTGAGCGTCCTGATGATTTCCGATGATACATCGCTGATCACAGTCAGTTCGATCGAAAATGAAATAATTAAGAGAGCAGAGAATAATAATAATAAATTTGAGCTAAAGGTCAAAATGATAAAGCGGAGTGGTCCTTAATAAGTCAGATCAATGACTGGGTCGATCCAGAGGAATTCCAGAGAAGTTTCTGGCCTGAAGACAGAAGGACGGAGTGGAGGAAGGGCGGAAGGGCTAAAGGGGCCTCCACAATTTTATCGGTTGCCCCTGGCAACGCCTTGAGTAGCTTCTGTCGCCCGGGCCAGGGGATCCGCGTGCCTCGTTTTACCGGAAAAACCAACCCTTGTGCCAAGTAGGTATCCCCCGTGTACTTAAACCAACCACCATTTTTATTTTTTTTTTTATAAAAACTAGAATTTTCTTCGAATCACAATACACCAGATTCCGCAGCACAAAGAACCAAATATGAAAAAATATACTACGGCCACGCGAGAATATTTCTGTGAATCTATCACCATTTTCTTTTGTCAAGACTATTGAAATTTATAATAAAAATATTTACGAATCGAATCGCACCTCGGTAAAATAATATTATATCCCGAGGGTAGCAAGTATAACTGTGAGCTATTCGCGTTCGAAAGATCGGAGCTCTGTTTTCCGTAAGGTCAACGACCCTAAAGTAGGGGTGAGAAAATGCACTGTGGATCGATATGAAGGCCTGAAACGAGGGTTACAAGATAGAAGGGAGCAGATCCCCTCAGAACTGTTAAGCAATGGGAAATTTTCCAGGCGAGGAACGATCAAGGCCGGTATATACGCATATATTGGCTCCCGCAAAAAAATTACAAAAATTAATTAGCAGCAACCAATCCACGCGATAGTTTCGATTATAAAAAAAAAAAAAAAAAAAAAAAAAAAAAAAAAAAATTAACTTTATTCCCATCTCGTCGGTATAAGAATAAATCGCGAGGATGCTTTATTATGAAATCGGAAATTGGCGTCGATCTTCGGGCGAAGAGCGAGCGTTTCCAGAGTCGTAAGATAAATGTATACAGAGATGTGGTCCACTTTGAAGGAGTCCCATAGGTCCGGGCAATAAAAGCCAACCGAACGTAAACTCATGTGAAACTGGGTTCTACAAACGTCGAAAGAAAAACATCTGCGCCATCGAGAATAACACAGGAAAATATATGCCGTCTCAAACAAATGTCCTCTATAACCAAATAAAAAAAGGTGTAACGAAAAAAATTTTCGAGTTTAAAAAAATGCCGTCGAAATTTAAATCTCGAAAAAATTCGCGCCACCACCCTTATAAAATCCCACGTACAATGAAAATAGAATATCCAGCCAGCCGCAATACCTACCCCAGGAAAATCTAATTTAATTAAAAAATAATTCTCGACTAAAATATTTCATCGTCCTAACAGGTGATGTTACGACCACTAAAATATAGAATAAAAATTTTCTAAAATTTCCCGAAATACCAAAAAAGTACCTATAAAATCGTACCAGCCGGTTATGACCAGAGTATAAAGCTAAGCGAAGAAGCGTCGACGGACAAGAAGATGAAAGATTGTAGGTAGAATTTTCCAAAGGAGAAGGTCAAATCTTACGATAGTAAAGTAACGAAGGTCGAAGGAGCTGGAAGGGAGTGTCCTGCGCGGCCAAGGCCGAAGATTTTCTCTCTGATCGATCCCTCGAGAGTGCCCCCCTTTCCTCGTTTCCTCGTTGTGCCAT